CTTTACTTCATTTTGCCACCATTTTTTAATTTAGATGTATGCATTTGAAGTCAGCTTAGAATGCTACTAACTACCCTAATTGTTTTCAGAACTGTTATTAGATGCTGGCTGCTTCTGGCAGTGTTGTGGTTCTTCCTTATAGACTTTATCTAGTAATGCACATCTCTGGTTAGAGGCAACCAAGACCAGCATGTAGCATTACCAGAACTAGTCATTATGCATTTAGATTTCCTTTGGAGACTAACCCAAAATGGTCTTTGCCATTATTACCTTTTTTTTCCCCTTCTGCGTGTAAAAGTTATTCAAGAGAGGTCAGATTATTGTGACATCTGGGGTTTTCTTCTAGTTGCTTTTCAACTTTAAATCCTTAGGACAGATTAAGAATGCTGACAGTTTTCACCATGGGTGGTGAGAGTTCTTGGTGCAAGAGGGAATTTTTTCTAGTCTAGAGTTTAATGAGCATGGATAACAAAAGAAAGTCATGAATACTAGTGTAAAACAAAGCAATATAATTATTATTAACTCTCCCGACCCCGTGTCGGTCAATTTGACTGAGTCACGTGATCTTTTGCACTCGTTTAAAGTTGATATATATTTGATACTTATAACTATATATATATTGGGTATATCTTCACGAAAATTGTCAGCAGTTAATATTACAAGTCTTTTCACATACAAGAAATCATATTTCTTAGTGAAGTATTTTTAATAAAATAAAATAAAGTTTTGTCCATGAATATATTGAGTATTTGTTTTGAATAGTCCGTGTGCAAATTAATTTTCATGTTAAAATTAAAAATACTTTTCATCATGTGAAAAATCTCAAATTTACTTTGTGTAATCCCTAAAACCTCCTAAATGCATTTCAAACATTTTTTTCTCTCTAGATCCTTATAGTTTATATATTATTTTCTCTACCCTATCTCAAAATGGGATCGGTCAAATTGACCAACCTCGTAACCACCAAAAACAATATGTAAATAAACCTAAATTACCGTTTTTTTCTTTCCAGAATGACTTCAAATTGTAACATGAAACTACATCCATTTTTTCCTAAGTAGCTCTAAGTTCGTAATAGTATATATCTATTTATAATTAAATTTTATTGTTTTATTGCCCTTTGAACCGTGTCTAACTACTATCCCCACCATTATAAGTTGTAAATCACTCGGGGAACATGTAGCTCCCGCTATTTGAATTACATTGCCCACGAGCTGCTCACATTTGTACCTCGTGAACCATTTTAATTTT